GACTGGTGCCTGGGTTCATGCTCTAAGCATTGCTTTCAAGTTGCTTCATTTTCCATCTATTCTCATTTGATCAAAGAATGTATTTTCTCATGTTGGCTGCTGTTTGATAGTAAAATGGTGAGCAAACCACCATGAAAATGTTTCCATGCAAACTATGAAACCAACATTGTGAAGATCTGAAAGTGACTTTTGTCATAATTCCCTACATGCAGGGCACAAACTCTTCTGAGATGATAGACACCTGACCCTCTATCTCAAGCTTGGCCAAGGCAACTCTTGGCTTTACACAAAAGGCCAACTCCCCCTTGCTTTTCTCTACATATGGATTACACGCTCACCTTTCAGGGGATCATAGATGATACACTTTACATTTTTGGAACTGAACTTTTAAAACATACATATAATTATTCTCCTTTCTATCTGTAAATGTCAGAATGTGAAAAGTTGCATTAGCTTTCCTGTAATTTGTCAGACAGGATAGCTAAAGATCTTTTTGTTTTAACTTGTTCTTTATGTTTCTTCAGCTGACTTCTTCATTTCTGCACCCTTTACGCCTCCTCCACAGAAGATGCAACATGACAAGAATGGTTTTGACTAGTTAAAGAACAAAAAGCATTAGGAGCAGGAGTTTGCACGTTCTCCCCATGTCTGCGTGGGTTTCTTCCGGGTGCTCTGGTTTCCTCCCACAGTCCAAAGATGTGCAGGTTAGGTGGACTGGACATGCTAAATTGCTTGTAGTGGTGTTCAGGGATGTGTAGATTAGGTGGGTTATAGGGGGATGGGTCTGGGTGGGATGCTCTGAGGTGTGGACTTGTTGGGCCGAAAGGCCTGTTTCCACACTGTAGGGATTCTATAAAAAAAAAATTTTAACCACTTGAGCCTGCTCCACCATTTAATATGATCTTGGCTGATCTCAGCCTCAACTCCATCTTCCTGCTGCCGCCCCATGACTCTTCCACAAGACCATAAGATGTAGGAGCAGAACTAGAGCACTCGGCCCACTGATTCTGCTCCACCATTCCATCATGGTTGATATGTTGTTCAATCCCATTCTCCTGTCTTCTCGCTATAACCTTTGATACCCTTACTAATAAAGAATCTATTTCTGTCTTAAAGACATACAATGACTTGGCCTCCGTAACCTTGTGTGTCATTAAGTTCCACAGATTTACCATCCTCTGACTGAAGAAATTCCTCCTCATCTTAATCCTAAAGGGTTGTACCTTCACTCTGAGGCTGTCCCCTCCGGTCCTACTTTCTCCTATTCATGGAAACAGTTTCTCCACATCCACTCTATCCAAGACTCTGAGTATTCTTTCAACGGGATTTGTAAGCTTCAATGAGATGCCCCCTCATTCTTCTAAAATCCAAGTATAGACCCCGAGACCTCAATTGCTCCTTATATGACAAGCCCTTCTTTTTCAGGGATCATTCTCATAAGCCATCACTGGAACCCCCTCAAATGTCAACACATCTTTCCTCAGATATGAGGCCCAAAACTGCTCACAATGTTCCAAATGCAATCTGACCAGTGCCTTATACAGCCTCAGCAGCACATCTCTGCTTTTGTACACCAGCCTTCTCAAAATGAATGCTGACATTGCATTTGCCTTCCTAACTGTCAACTGAACCTGCATGTTAACCATAACAGAATCCTGAACTAGGATGCCTAAATCCCTTTGTGCTTCAGATTTCCAAAGCCTTTTCCTATTTAGAAAATAATCTACAACTCTATTCTTCCTACCAAAACGCATAACCTCATACTTTCACAAATTGTATTCCAACTGCCACTTCTTTGCTCAGTCTCTTAGTCTTTCAAAGTCCTTCTCCAACCTTTCCGCTTCCTCAACACTACATCTCCCTCCAACTATTTTGTGTTATCGATCCATTACTAAGTAAAAATTGATCGATCTCATCATTACATTTATGCAGTGCCCCCACACTCTGGAGTATTAAATTCCACAGATTCATGACCCTTTGGGAGAAATAATTCCTCCTCATCTGTTTTAAACCTGCCACCCTTTCATCTAAAACTATGAACTTTCATTCCAGATTGCCCCACAAGGGGAAACACCTGCTCTACGGCTACTTTGTCAATCTCTTTTAGCATCACATATACCTCAATGAGATCTCCTCTCATCCTTCTCAAGTGCTC